GCAAACATAAGGCAGAGCTTCCCCATGTTGACTTAAAAACTGTATATCTGAAAACTAAATTTTGTTAGAAACCAGTGTTACTTCAATTAAAGAAAAAGAAATCTGTCTCATTAAATAGTACAAGATTCCACTCACACCAAGTTTAAAAACAGAGAAGGCTAATCAGCTTCCACAGCAGTCACTGTGCGGGGGACACGTCTGGGGCCCTAGCAAAAGACCTTATCTTGGTTCAGGGTGGCAGTGACATAGGTGTATTCTCTTAAAAAACACCCATTAAGGGGGCCTCCCTGATGGCACAGGTTGTTGAGTGCAGCGCTTGCTGTGAAACTGTCCGCAGCCTCTGCAGCACGGGTTCGATTCCTGGCAGGCCAGGGAGATTCCCACATGGCACTGCAGACCTCTCGTGTCTTGCCCGCTGCTCCCCTCAGCAGTGTCTTCAGTCCGTCTGCCTGTTCTGCTCCCTGCTCTGGCGAATTCTCTGGTGATTTCACCCTCCTGCACCTCTGGTCTGTACCCCAGTTCTTGTATAAATAAATAAATCTTAAAAAAAAAAAACACCTGTTTAGGTGAATACAATCATTATATGTATAGCATGTTATTGTGTCACATGATTTGCTCACTTCTCTATATGTGATTCCATTAAAAAGTCTACGTAAGGAAAAAGCAAGCACTGTAGAGTGAACACCAACTTCTAAGTATGGCAACAAATGATGAAAAGGAGGTGGGGATTGCAAGGGAGGAGGGGTATCAATGGGGTCCCCCTCTCCTGTCATGTTTCATTTATTTAAAAATATACTGCTACAGTATGTCAAAATAGTAGCATTTGATAGAGGCCGCCCTGGTGACATTATTCATTGTTTTACTCAGTACTTTTTCAAATATTTCATATAAAAAAATGATGCAGGTTATCTGGTGCTGGATCCATTCTATCCAGAAGACAGTTCAGCCTACACAATTATCAACACATCTTGCAAAATGCTATAAAGCGCTCCCTTCCCCTGCAGACTTTTCATTCTGCTCCCTGACAAGGCAAAATATGATATTTACAATAAACCCTTCAATTTCATTTGAGAAAATCACGCAGAATGAGCCGAGCTTGTTTTAGCTTTCCTGTAATATTACAGGCTTTGGAACTGAAGCTTCAGGAAGAATATCCTTCCCCTCTGTGTCTCCATCAAAATCTGATGTTCCTTGAAAAACAAATTACAAGTGGTTTTGCTCACCTCTCATGCAGCTCAAATCACAGGAAAATATAATAAATAAGATTAATTCTACACTCAAGGGGCCTCATGTGTGACAGACTTCAAAGAGCAGGTACAAAGCTGGATGAGTTTATTTTCACTCTTACTATCACCTTTAAGCCTAGTTTTAAAAGAAACTACCAGAAAAGCTGGGACTTTGATTTTGCTCACTTCCATTTAAGAAATTATTACCTCTGATTTATAGTTACTTGTGGATAAAACAGAGACACACTAAACGGGGGGCGGCGGGGAATAGAAGTGGGATTAGGGCCAAAATAAGGGGGGTGGGAATTGCATGGGGAATAGAACCAAGATGAAAATGCATACACTGTGCAAAAATGAAAAATGATATAAGAATTATATAAAATATTTAGAAAAAAATATTACCTCCCATATATTAAGATACACAGACTGGAAATATTCTACTCCCCACTCAACACGTCATCACTGAGACAGCGAGCAAACCCCATGGAAAAGGACAGAACCGAAGGACCAGCCTTCAGCCAGATGTAGTCCCATCCACAGTCCTGCATCCAACCTGTGACTGGCTCTACGAGAACATTCTCTGCCAATCTGTTCCTGTCCTCCATTCCTTCCAATTCTCTCCTACCCGGGGCTCAGTTAAGAAGGGAGGCAGAGGAAGGACATCAGGGATGGACCCAGGAGGACATGGCAGCAAATCAACCACATGGAAAACCAAGGCAGGTGTGATAATACTGAAGAGCAAAGTGCTTAGGGGTCAGAAGCTCTGGATTAGAATTCCAATTTGCTGGGCGGAGCAACCGGCAACAGGTCTCTCTAACCCCTCTGAGTCCCTTTCCTCTCTGCAAAGTGAGCCTTTCTTTTAGAAGTTTTGTGTGGTTTGCATATTGTGAAATGTTGAGAATGTTCCACCAGCATAAGGCAGTAAAAGAAACTGTCTATCGCTGGCTCACCTACAAGTCCAAAGATCAAAAAGCAACTCTAATTTAGCTACATCCTTTTCGCCCCACGCTCATTAGTCATTATCTGTGGGTTTGGTCTTTACACTTCTTTTCACATCTCCTCAACAGGCTGTTTGATATCCTCCTAAGCACACTATTAAGTGTCAATGTATTTGAGCTTTTGCACTTTGTGGCTTTTCTTTCCTGTCTTGAAGTGTCTGAAATGCTATCACTTGGTACTCGCTGACATATCACCAGATAATAGACACTTCTCGAAAGACAAATTAAGCAGACATTATTGGTTCATGTCATCCTTCCAGATGGCATCTGGAAGGGGCCAAGATTTTGAACAGAGATGATTATGAGCCCTAAGTAAGGAAGTATTCCCGAAGGAGTCCCACAGCCACGCAGCCTGCACACTCTGGAACGTGTGCACTGAAATGGGCCAGCTTCATTAGTTTCTCCTTCTAGGCCACAGCATCTGCAAATGGCTGGCGGGTGTTGCCCATCTCATCTAGCTGGGAGGGATTTAAATTTTTAAAAAGACATGTTTGTGCTGAAAGGAGATGTTTATTCATTTTCTCCCACCTCTTATTTCTACTGACTTATAGTTTCAGCTCCCCCCTCCTCCTCAATCCTCACCAAGGCTAGAGGAGTCACTAGTCTAATGTTTCCGAACACCACATTTCACTGGGGGGCATGGCCACTTCTGCCATTTCATCTCCTTATGTCCTACGTTCTGAAGCAGGGCATGGTTTTAGTCATTCAACTTGAATAAATACCCATTTCATGCCAACACCAGCACTCTGGTTGTCTTCAATATAGCAGAGGAGACAAAAGGCTATTCAAATTCAGCCTCAGTCCTTAGATTCACCTCTTGTGCTGGTTTATAAACCTAATCCTGGTACTTGGAGTTAGAAGGCCATCATTTTCCATTAGTGTAGGATCCCTACATAAGCTCTCATCAGACGGACCTTTAAGAGGGCTTCTTCACAGCCTCAGCTTAGGGTCATCGTTCAGATAAGAGCCCTGGACTTCCGCGATGAAGAAGGCAGCTCAGGTAGCTTCAACACAAGCCAACCCTGCCTTAGACTGGGAAATGCTAGCGCACCAGTGGGCTTTCATCACATTTACTTGTCTTCTAGAAACGGTTCTGTCGCTTGCAGAAAAGGTTAACTCCAGCTCTCCATGAGTAGGAATGGACAACCCTCCCAGGTGCCTTTTCCTGTAGTTGGGTGTGAGGAATCTCCCCAGCAGCCTAGCCAATGCTGAGGAAATTTGGGAAAACAGTGAGATTGGGACCAGTTTGGGTCAGCATCCAGAATGTGCCATAATACAGAATTCAACATCAGCCTTCAACTGAAGTTCAGAATCGGTCAATGGACACAGTCAGCCCGCTGCAGGTAGCTCTGAACCACTACTGTTGGCCCTAAAGGCTAGGCCTCAGGGACCATGGGGCCCTCAGGACATGGAGACCAGAGGCAGAACTTTCTCTGCCTCTTGTCCTGCAAAAAAGCCTGTGAATCCCAGGCCTCAGGTCAGTAGGATGACTTTGTCAAGTGCCACCCAAACATTTAAGTGACAAGACAGACCGTGAAAACATTTTCGTGACATTTTGCTATAGAGCAGGATATTCAAAGAAGAGAACAAGGAAGGAGCATGTGTTGAAGGATCCTTTACTCTCCCCCTCTCCATATGGAAAAAGAACTGATTTCCATAAAAGGTGTTCATCTGATATTCTGGCAGGATATCAATTCTGCTGTTGTCTTGGTTCAGGAGATAATTAATCATAACATCTGCACTTCCTTCATGCAAATTTGTGACTGAGTTTCAACGGTATGGCTCCACATGCCTCCAAAACTCTCCTGTTACAAATGGGCAGTGCCCAAGGAATTGTCCATGAAACACTGGTCTCTACACATGCTGTTTTCTTTTCTTTTCTTTTTTCTTCTTGAGGTGGGAAGAGGATTGGAATGGTCACATGCAATTATAAACAGTAAAATGAAACCCCTCCTGGAGAGTCACAAGGCATGTTTACATATCAAAGGTTTTGAAAAAATCCAGCAAGAATAAAACTCTGCTCTAACAGTTTTTAACTTACTATTTCCCCAAACCCCAGTGTCCATAAATCTTTCTTTTCCATGTAACAGCCATTAGCATCCTTTATCATAGAACGCTCCCTTCAGAGGGTACTATTTTGAAGAACCCTGTCCCTTTCCATTAGAGGCACAAGGAGATTGAAGTGCCTATAGGTGGGTGAATCGGCTCTCATTTCCTCTCCCAAATGCTCATGACAGGAAAAGAAAAATGAAGGACATCACCAACACACACATCTGAGGATTTCAATTTACTGCTGCCATGCATGAATTATTATATTTATGGTTGAGTTGCCAAATATACCAGTAGTCAGTAGGCCGCAGCCACAGTAGAGATGCCCAGCTGAGCGGTGGCACTGCACTGCAGTCATAACGTCCATACCGGAAGGCAGGCATGCAAGACAATGAATCCTTTTCCACACTCCCACACCCACTGGAAGGGCTGCTAGGATTTTCTTGAAGGTGGCCTCATAGCAGCCTTACCTGATCCACTCACCTCAGATAAGTCACTGGGGTGAAGTACAAGAGAAAGGAAAACTGAGCTAACAGTCACAGCATTAAAACCCACCTCAGCAGAAAGAGGTGTGTAGCAATGATTTGTTACTGTTCACAATTTTGTGAGTTGGCCTCAGCTATGCCATTCTGCTCTGTGCTGTTGAGTTGAGGTCAGCAATGGGGTGGCTTTCAACCCCAACTCAACTGGGACAGGAATATCTGACATAACCTCTTCTCTCCGCCAGGGTCTGTCACAGTCTGCTGTGGGCTTCCTGGGGATGAGGCCACTGGGATCCAAGAGAAAGCAAGTGGGGGCTCCCTGTACCCTGCAGTTTACCATTCAGAAATCCCAGAGCATCACTTGCAATGCAGTGTTTGGGTCAAGGCAAGTTCCAAGGTCAGCCAAGGGCTCACACATAACCACTTGATGTGGTTACAAGGTGATTACTTTTTGGAGACCACCCACCACAACAAGCACTGCTTCACAGTCAACAGCGTCCGTTGGCAGAAAACAAAGAAAATTCAACAACCACCCTGACAAAGAGGCCTATTAAAGCAAAGGCAAAGCTTGGTTCTTTTTATCTGGGAAGCTTGGATCTTCTAGAAAGACAAAGGGAACCACCCCAGGTCCCCAACCTCCACAGTTGGGTCTCCTACTCACAAACTCCTCCTCCCCTGCCTGCTCTAGGCTAGCCCTTTTCAGGAGGTGACTGGAATAATTTATCCTGTCTGAACATTCAACTCCTTTATGGAGAATTGCAGTCCCTGGCTATTCAGAAAAGAACACATTAATGTCCTTATTCTTTCTTCCCCTTCCTGAGGAGGACGGACTCATCCTGCCTATCAGCTGTCCAACTGACCACAGAGGCTGGGATCAACCCCATCCAGGGGAGAAAAGCTAAATATTTATTTAACAGTATTAGCACCTTCCCTTGAAGGAGCCATCTCTTCTTTTTGCTTCATTCACCATCCGAAGCAGAAGGGAACGCTGAGTGGGCTAGGCAGCAGCCTACGGAGCACATTCTGTGGGATGCTCAGAAGGGGCCCTGCCCAAAAATAACCTTCGCAGCTGCCATGACATGACGCGTGAAATACCACCACGGATTCATTTCATTCACTTACGGTATTGCCTCTCCTCAGATTCAAGGACAGAATGGGAAACCCCGGATATGGGAACACATGGGGTCAGGGACCAAACCAGGGCTGCTTTCAAACAGTGAGGAAAACCAAGCCTACTTGAGCCTGCTATAGTCCTGGGGTGGGGCCAGAAAGGTGCAGGTGCCCCTGGTAGCCTAGCTGTATGTTGGAGGTGGGGGTGACAAAGGTGAAGAAATGAAAAATTCTCCTATTTCATAATGTTCTGGAAGTTGTTCTGGGAGGGAAGCAGAACAGGCACGAGAAGGAATGAGAGAAAAGCAAAAGGACTTACTGCCAATACCTTCTCCCAAAGTTAGCTTTCCAGGAGTCTCTTCATTAGTATTTTCCCATCCTGATTGTTTTGATCATGATGAAAAGATATTATGGAATTAATGTGTATGGCAAAGAGGGTTAAAAGAAGAACTTTGGAATTAAGCTTTACCTACCCATGAAAGGTACAAAAAATTGTAAACCAAAAGTAGTTAGGATTTATATTATACTTTCTGTGAGTCATATTATTCTGAGAACTTTGCTCACCAGAGAAGTTCTGTGATAAACGGGCTCATATTATTCCTATTTTAAAGATGGGGAAACCGAGGCTGGGAACATAGCATGGCTTACAGCCTCACGGTTAGCAAATGGCAAAGCCAGATTTTGAACTCAAACAGTCTGACAGGTAGGAATCGAGGCCTTTACCCTCATCACTTCCCAGTGAAGCTTGCAAAACAACATAATACACCCTGTGCTTATATACGATGAAAGATTAATGAACTATTTTCAGCACATGGACAGGAAATCCTGAATCTGGAATATCAATTTTTATGGAATTACAAACTGACACTATTTTTGTGTTTTACAATTTTTGTAATAAAAAGTAGCTTTAAAAGATGATGTTTCAAAAATGTATGGAAACTTTTTCTATATTTATGCAAAGTGAACCAAAATGTCTTGTCATATAGGAATTAAAAAAATCTACTACAAAAACACAACTCCAAGAAGCAATATTTCTTCCTATTTTTGAAGCCAAAGTTTGTGATCTGCCTTCCACCTGGGCATGCAGTGGACACTCCAGCACACCTCAGGAGGTGAGAGTCTGACCAGTCTGGCCTAGTGGAGCGGGAACAGTAAACCACCTTCAACTCCAAATACCCACCTCCCTGTCTCCTGTAGGTTAGCTGTGTGATCAGCCATGAATTCCAGAGATGATGTTCAATCATCTTATCCTTGTTCCCCATGATTCTTGTCCTTTCTTCCCCCAAGCTCAAACCTCACATGCTCAACCAATCTTCAACAGGCCTCAAATACACACGGAGCATTTTGCTCAGTTGAGACAAGAACGCAAAACTGCCACTGAAACCATGTTCATAGATTGAATCCATTCGATCTGGCTACACTACCTAACTTACTAGAAAATGAAATTTGGTAATAGCCAGAAAAGAGAAGAGTAAGGCAAATGTCCTATCATCAATCTCTATGAGTAAATTATTGATGCTTGACAACTCTAATGCAGAAGATCAGGAGGCTTGCCTGCTGAGAGGGAACCGGAGTGTTCAGTATTTAAAACCCAGAGAGAGAACTTACTGTCCTACAGTCTCACTGTGAGTTAATTAAAATGAGTCATACATTAGGAAGGAGACATGCAGCGTTCCAAAAGATAACACTACAGATGCAACTCATCCAGGGAAAGCGAAAGCATCCTCATCTCCTGTGTAGATGCCCCCTGAGGCTCTCAAGCCCATGCAGTAGTACCATGCTCCTCCCACGAAGAGGGAAATGGAAAGACAGGATGGACAGTGGCAAGAGACACCCAAAATCCCGCGATGTGAAGAGGAAGGTGCTCCACGGTGGACCACACGTTAACTGAAGTAGCACTGACACCTCCACACAGGGTGACAGCATATTAGATGCGGTCACGCCATCTGTCTCCAGTCTCCAAGACTGCTGTCTACTTATCTGAAACGTCATATTGGAAATTCATAGTAGCCTCATTTTTTAATTAAGAGGAAAGATTATACTTCAACTATACCCTGTCCCATTAAAAGGGATTACTTAAGTGTGTATCTGGTGAATGGAGAGTAACAGAAAAAAGTCCCTCTAACTAAAAGTAGTATTTGTGGAATTCTGTGACAGAGAAGGACATCAAGTGGTTGGATTTGGACAGAAAATTAGTGGATGAGTAGAAATAAAGATCTGAGCCAGGGTAGGCCACAGTAGGTTTGTCCCCAGATAGTTGCATGGTCACAGTCTAGGCATGGCTTGAGGTCCTGTGAAACAATAGTGAGCAAAGAGTATTACCTGCAGCACACAGCTGCAGGGTCTATTACCAGCGAATCAGAACAGTCACTTAACTGTGATAAACCCTTTTTAACTTAGGCACATGAACACACGTTGCCTTGGACAACAATGTGGGCAGTTCGTGGCTAGGAGGAGCCTTGTAGATTTTTCAGAACAAATGATCAGGGCTCTGAAACATAACTCATGTCAGCTCAAGATGAGTCCTCAGGGAGGCTTGACTCTACTGCCAATGCAGTCCTGGTGACCCTCCCAAAGAGAGGCCACGGCTGGATCAACCACATAGATGGGCCTGAAGCCCCTCAGGGGACAGTCAAGAGCAGTCAACAACAGTAAGCTAATCCCACAAAGGCCTAGAGAATGCAAAAGCTGAGCCCTGTTCTGTGGAAAGACCTTGGAACACAAAGATGAGTAAACAATAGTCCTTGCCTAGAAAGGTGTCCGGCTCAGAGAAAAAGGCCACCATCACACAATGTGGTAAGAGTCAGATGAACATGAAGGCCAAGTAGCATGGGACCCCAGGGGAAAAAAGGGTTCACCCCTGCATCACATTCTGAGAGAATTCTTCTGGTCCCCTAGGACAAAACCTGCGGATAGAGAAGTTGACTCTCAACCTTTCCAGATAGATATTTAATGTTTGCTTGGGCTAGACCATCTCAAGACCAAAATGGTTAAGTTTTTTATGGCGTCTAGTTTCTCCTTTATGTTTCTTGACCAAACCTGATTACCAAGTGGTGCTTTACCAGTAGGGTGATTTAGCTCACATTAGCTGAGCGAGGACGAGCTGGGAGAACTCGCTGTACATACAGAGGGGTGACAGTCACTGACTCCACATACGTAAGAACACTGCCTGCTGCACTCCCAGGCCCTCATGCCAGCTGACACAGACTCTTCATGTAGCTGGTACTACAAGGAAAGGGGAAATTCTCTACCTTCCTGCCCCTCCACCCCTGACTGTGCCCAGACAGGAGCTCGGGTCCAGGACCACGTCATGTGGTATCAACCTGCTGACGCCTTTCCTTGAGGTCAAATGAAGAAGAACTGTCTTCCAAGCCTGCTGGTTCACTTGTCAGACTCGGTCTCCATCTGGAAGCAGTAGGAATGCAGAGCACAGGCCTCATTTAGCTGCTAGGGAAATTTGATAAATGACTCAAGCATCCATTGTGCACGAACAGGAAGAATCCAGAGTGTAGATCCTTCCCAGGGAGCAGAAATCCAAGTGGTAGAAAGAACAGACCCAACTTTTACATTGCGTTTCCTTAGGATTTTTTTCCCTCGCTCCCCTCATCTTCAGCTCATCATGTCAATTTCTGGAAGTTCCTGTTGATGGAGGCAAATTCAGCTCTAGTGCCACCAGGAGCGAGGTCCAGAAGGAAGCAGTGAGCATCGCCTAGGCAAGGCACAGTACATTTCTCACTGCCACGCGAAGCTGAATCAGCTTATCTGTTTCTGTCAAATTTTTCCACAACAATTTCCTTTGAGGTTGAAAATGCCTCTGTCTCAGTTTCAGCCCATTTCTCCCAGCTCTCCCGATAAGTGTCAGATATGGGAATTAGAATTCTACCAGTTCTTTCTTTAGAAAACCAGTACAGCAGATGATATCAAACGATTTATTGTTATTTATAAACATACCCATGAAGATTGGGATGGTGAATGTACAACCCACAAACTTCCAAAGAGAGTATAACACAACTTTTAGTAAAGGCATATGTAGAATATGGCTGGAATAGGAAATGAAAAGGTGCCATAACTTGTCTTGAAGGCTAAGTGGGAGGTGGGTGCTAATAAGCACATGTCAATCATAATCATGTGGGAGGGTAATGATTTGCACCCGCCATGGCTTCCTCCCAGCCTGCCTTTCTGTGTCATTTCCGGGCTCAGGTTTCCTGGTTCATTGTCAAGGGACCCATTGCTGGATGATAAAAGCACAGAAAGACTGACCTGAAATGACACTTGGAGGTACATGAGACAACTTCTCCAAAATCTGTGAGGTTCAGATTCCAACTCTGATTCTTGAGTGACATCAGAGTGGAAACACAGATCATTATATAACTATCTAATCATGGCCCAGGAGCAAGAGGCTGACTCTGCCATTGCCTACTATTATTTAGAGGAAATGATCCTTGCGAAG